GCGGCGCGGCCTCAGAGCTGACATGCGGCGCGGCCCGGCCGGCGGCGGCAGAGGCGACCGGAGCAGCAGGCGCCCGAGCTGCGCGAGCGACCGAGCAGTCGGTGGGGCCGTGGGGCGAGCGGCGTCCCGGCCTCGGAGCCCCGGGGGTGGCGGAGGTGAGGCAGCAAACGGGACTCGGATCTCTGGCGGCCCCGCGGGTGCGCGCGTGGGGTTCGGGGCCGGGACGCCGCTCGCCCTTCGGTCGCCGTCTCCCCTTTGTTGCGGGGCGGCTGGAGCGGGCTCACGCCCCGCTGGCCTGGGGCCCGGGGTTCCGGACAGAGCCGACCGCGGGCGGCGGGGGCGGCGGGATCGGGTCCACGCGCCCCGCGGGGTGAGGGACTCCAGGGTTCGCATGGAACCGGCCGCGGACGGCGGGGCGCACGCCCCGCAGGGTTCTGGTGGAGCCGGGCGGCGGGGGCGGGGCCGGGGGGCCGGAGCGGAGCCGACCTCGGGCGGCGGGAGGCGGGTGTCGGAGCGGGTCCGCGCGCCCCGCGGAGGGGTCGGGACGAGTCGGGACCGGTCGGACCGCGGGCGGCGGGGCGGGTGTGGGGCCGGGTCAGGCGCTGAGCGCTCCCGGCGTCCGTAGGTGCCCGGAGCCATGGTGATCATGTCTGAGTTCAGCGCGGCCCCCGCGGGCGCCGGCCAGGGCCAGCAGAAGCCCCTCCGGGTGGGCTTCTACGACATCGAGCGGACCCTGGGCAAGGGCAACTTCGCGGTGGTGAAGCTGGCCCGGCATCGAGTCACCAAGACCCAGGTGCGTGGGGTGGCGGGGCCGACCTGGGGTGGACCCTGCCTGGGCGCAGCCAGCCGGGTGGGAGCCCTGCCTGTAGGGTCCATCCATCGTCCTAAGGTCGAAACGCTGACCGCTTTTAGCCCGGTAAAGAAAAGAAACGCTGTATATTATGATTCTGCATAATTTGTGCAAATATTAAAGGATAATGACCAAATTCTCTGACCGCAGCTAAAGCCCTGAGAAGTGATCTTGCAAAGACTTAGGACATTAATTTAACTGGCCATTTTAAGTAATATTAATGATGGCTTTGGGTATTCCCTTCCCCCCCCCCCAACTTTTTGTGACCTCTTGGGGACATAAAGTGTTTTAGAAATTAACCTGCAAAAAATGAAAATGTGTGAATTAGGTTAAGTGAGAGGTTTTCTTTACTCCTTTTTCTTTTAAAAATCTGTAGGTTGCAATAAAAATAATCGATAAAACACGCCTAGATTCAAGCAATTTGGAGAAAATATACCGTGAGGTTCAGATCATGAAGCTTCTGAATCATCCTCATATCATTAAGCTTTACCAGGTAAGCTCAAGTTTGCCTTCCACTGTTACTTCTGGCAAGTGTTTTAGTTTTCACTTCCAACAACCTAAGTCTGCAGTTTCTGAACGTTGCTCTTCTCTTTGTGCGTATGTGTGAGTCCAGGAGTTGGTTGTGTAAGGTCAACAGATTAACTTCTGCAAGTGGTGCTGATGTATTTCCAGTTATTTTCTTGCTTTTGGGTCATGATTGCTTCGTGAACATTTTATTTAGTATTGTAATTTGTTCTAGTGTTGAATGTGCAGAGGTTGATGTTACCTTTACTATGAAGACAAACGAGCAGATCTGTGTATTGCGATAAGTCAGGCATTTCGTGTAGGACTAAGTGAAACTAGGCACTTCCGCCTCTGCAGATAATTATTAAACTTCCAAACCAGCTACGCTTAACCAGTTTTCATCAATTCATCTTTTCAAAGGCAGCAGTGAACACTTGTCTTCCCCTTTTAAACTCTTCCCTCAAAAACGGAGCGATGAGATTACTTTTGCCCCAGTGAGGGCAAGGAGGCCGTCATTTAATCCACGTCAAGAGCAGGCCTCACCCTGCCCATCTTTTGGTTTGTTTTGTGAATTTATTTTTGTTCTGTTGAAACTAATGAATTGTATCTTTGGAAAATAAGTGCTGGTTTAATTAGGACAGCAAAGCAATCTCTTACTTAGCCGACCACTTCTGCAAAGATGAAATTCAGTCTCGTGCCGGAGAATAAGTTATTTGCAATGCTCTGTGTTTAGTCCAGTTGTGCTGGCTGGAGGTTCCTTTTGATGACTCTCACAAAACCTCCGCGAGTCTGAAATGAATATGGGCCGGTGTGTGTATCTGTGCCGTTGGCAGGGCCAGGTGTACAGTGAGGTAGGAGAGGACGGTAATTGAAATGATCCCACGCAAGGCTCTTCTACTCAGTTAAAATGAAGGTAGAAGTGGAGTCGTCGGGGCTGTGTTTCCAGAATGACAGTTTACTCAGCGCGGTTAGTGCAGTAGTCAGGTCACGTGCTCTCTGGCTCATTTTTGTTTCTGTTGTCATTTGTAAGTTGCCGTCTGGATAAGACGTTTCCTCCCGGGTCACTGATGTCAGTGCCTGAGAAATGTGCCTGGCCTGTTTCCGCGGGAGTGGGCTGACCCCTGTCCGCTTCTGACTGCTGGAGGGATGAGCCGGAGCGCGGCCTCCTTGTCTGCTGTCCCCCGCTGGCCCATTGTGTGGACTAGCCCAGTTAGCGACACCTGGCCCACGTGACCCCAGTTCGGTCTTTTCTGGGTGAATTTTCTCATTGCTCTGTGGGCTGCTTTAACTGTATGGTGACATAGGACGCAGTGGGACTGCACCGATGGTGGTTAGCCTGGTTCTGACGCTGGTGTCTGATTTTCACCCAGCTGGCCCAGGCCCAGAACCTTGGCGAGGCAGTCAACGCTTCCTATGAGGTTTTGTAAAACTTAAAACACATTTACTTTAATTCTTTCTCTGTCACTTTTTTCGTGGAGAAAAGGGGTGAACAGTGGTCGTCTTACTCGTCACTCTGTTAACACACGTTGAGCACAGAGGCAGTGAAAATTCCAGCCAAACTGCTTGGTGGTCACGTTTCTCTCTAGATTCACAGCTCAAAGCAGTTGTCTTGAAAGTACCTTTTTTAAAGGAATAACTATACTTTGAACCCCGAAGAAATCTTTTTCTGTAAGAATGTATTATCTCTCTGTCTCTCTCAGAACGAGTTCAAAATACACAGATATGAATTAGACTTACTTCTTTTGGTACCAAAGATCTGAATTTTACTTTGTTTTTTAGTTACGTTTTAAGCTCTTTAAAACATTTTTTTTTCCAAGTGAAATAAAATTCTCGATCAATAAGGGAACCTTTAAGGTGTACTTGACATTGGCTGTTGCTATTGACACTTGCTGAGTAGATTGCAGTACAAAGAGCAGACTGTTGTAGCTTACCTGGCAAAGCTGGCTTCTTGTGGCCTAATTAATCATGTCGCTAATGCATGTTGGGGGCGGGGGGACTTGCTATCTGTGATTTAGCTGTGCTGGCCTTTGGCTTCAATAATCTGTTGCCTGCTAGGCTGCCAGAAGAAAGAAAGCCCTAGCAGATCTCTTGGCATTGTTTTAGCTCTGTAGCCTCCAGAGTCCTCTAGGAGGGTGAGGCAAAGCGAGTTACTATTTTTTCTAAATATTTATTTACCTTTGTACTTATATTTATAATTTCCTATGATATAGGAGAATTCTAATACATTTAAACCTTTTTTTTTTTTTTTGAGAGCAAAGGAACATCAAGATAGGCAGTCTAAGTGAGGAATTCACCTCGGATTTTTAAAAACTCTCTTTCTGAATAGGAATCCCCCTTATTTCTTTCCTTATTGGGGAAGTTTTTCTTTTCTTTCCAAAAATAATGAGTGTACCCATCCCGGAGAAGTGAACAGTTTACTGGGGTTCGGGTGGAATATTTATACCGTTGGTGTGCTTCCTTTTCGTGTGGTTAAATGTCACGTCTTTATATTTTTAGGTTATGGAAACAAAGGATATGCTTTATATTGTCACTGAATTTGCAAAAAATGGAGAAATGTTTGGTAAGCCACACTTAGTTTTAGTATCTGTTGGGGTCTATCCACCTTAAAATTCTATGGCATTCTTCACTCATGCCCTAGACGTGGGCCAGACTTGCCAATTTGGGGGCTAGAGCTTTGTGTTGTTGCTCCTCAGATTACTTGACTTCCAACGGGCACCTCAGTGAGGAGGAAGCACGGAAGAAGTTCTGGCAGATCCTATCGGCCGTGGAGTACTGCCACAGCCATCACATCGTGCACCGGGACCTCAAGACCGAGAACCTGCTGCTGGACGGCAATATGGACATCAAGCTGGCAGGTAAGGGGTCACCCTGCACCCGGGAGGGACCGTCCTGCCGGGGGCGGGGGCGGGGGCGGGGCGCATGTGCTTGAGCACGCACCTTGAAACCACAGCCCCTGCTGTTTGCACCGTAACTTCATCGCCTGTTTCTTTGTCCCTCAGACTTTGGATTTGGGAATTTCTACAAGTTGGGAGAGCCCCTGAATACATGGTGTGGGAGCCCCCCGTATGCAGCCCCGGAAGTCTTTGAAGGGAAGGAGTACGAAGGCCCCCAGCTGGACATCTGGGTAGGAGCCGCGTGCGCAGCGCGTGTTAGATGCTAACCAGTGAGGGCGAGCTGGCGCTGACTGTGCTGTGTGGTCGTTGGCAGAGCCTGGGAGTCGTGCTGTACGTTCTCGTCTGCGGGTCCCTTCCCTTCGACGGGCCCAGCCTGCCAGCTCTGAGGCAGCGGGTGCTGGAGGGCCGGTTCCGTATCCCCTTCTTCATGTCTCGAGGTAGGTGCGGCTGAGCCTCCGGTGCGGGGTGGGCGGGGAGCGTGATGGGAGCTTGGGAGGCGGAGGGGGAGGACGCAGGCGTTTCCTGAAATGCCTGTTTGACTGTCTTCTGAGTCTGCTGTTGGGGCTGTGACTGAGGCCCGTATTACGTGGGGTGTTTACCTGCAAGAGAAACCCAACCCACGGGCTGTGTTTTCAGTGCCCTACTTACGGGCCGGGCGGGGGCCTCCCTGTGAGGATGTCTCCTGGAGGGCTGGCTGAAGGCCTGACTCAAGTCCCTGCCCAGCGCCCTGTCCCCGTGTCTCACCCACTCTGCACACGTTCTTTTCTCTCCATTCAGTAAAGACGTGTGACCTGCTGGCCACTAACATGTGTGGCCACAGCAGAATGGGGAGTCTTAAGGAGTCCCTGTGAGGCTGTTGGGAGGACTGTGCCTCCCACAGAGACCCATCTCTCAGTGGGGGGCTCTGTCTGATGGCAGGTCTGAGCTGGTGGCACGGGCCGGCGCGCCTTAAGATGGTCACTTGCCTGCTTGCCTGCGTGATGGGACCCTTGTCCCCTGCGGGGCTGCTGTGGGACCGGGTGGGCAGTGGGGGAGCGCCGCCCCGCCTGCCCCAGCGGGCTCATTGTGCATGCCCCGCCCCCAGACTGCGAGACGCTGATCCGGCGCATGCTGGTGGTGGAGCCTGGCAAGCGCATCACCCTGGCCCAGATCCGGCAGCACCGGTGGATGCAAGCCCACCCCTGCCCGCCGCCCGCCTGCCCCGCGATCGGCTACAGCTCCAACCTGGGTGACTACGACGAGCAGGTGCTGGGCATCATGCAGACCCTGGGCGTGGACCGGCAGAGGACCGTGGAGGTGAGTGCTCCGTCCCTCCCTGCCCATGGCTTGACGGGAGCGGCGCTCCTGGGGCAGGGGCGGCCGTATCAGGAAAAGCAGGCACTTACCAGTCAGGCTAAAATGGGAACACGGGCTAATTTAAGGGCCAGCTTGTCCACTCCTCTAAAAGATATTCTCGGCCACCCAAGAATAACCCTGGGAACGGCCTCGTCAGGAGCCTCAGTCGCGAGATGTCCCGAGGCGCCGCCCGCACGCGGGAGCCCTGCTTCCCATCGGCTCCCCTGGCCTGGCTCTAACCCGCTTCTCTGCCTGTCGCAGTCCCTGCAGAACAGCAGCTATAACCACTTTGCGGCCATTTATTACCTCCTCCTGGAGCGGCTGAAGGAGTACCGCAGCCCCCCCAAGCCGTCCCGGACCCGCCTGGCCCGGCCGCAGAGGCCCCGAAGCTCCGATCACAGCGGCCTGGAGGTGAGGGGGCTCCTTCTAAAGCCCCGCCCTGTCTCTGCCTTGGATTGCGTCCCCGGGTTAGGGATCCCTTGCTCAGACGTGCTCGGGGGTAAGACGCAGGCTGAGCCTGCTGGCCCCAGCTCCCAGCCCCCCCACCCATTAAGCCCTGAGGGGGTTCCCCTGTGAGCCTTGGATCAGAGGCCGCATGGAGAAGGGGGGGTGCTGATGCTGTGTTGGGGGTCAGGCCCCTCCTGTGGCCACTTGTTGCTAACTGTCCCTCATGCTGGCCTCTCCATGCCTCCTCCTGGTCACTTCAACCAGCGTGGCCGCAGAGGGAGGGCGCACGTGTCCCGAGCCCAGGCAGCGAGTGGCTGATACCTGTTAACGCCAGAGCAAGGCCAGCATGGCCTTTTCTTGAGATGCTCGCGGTTGTGCCCAGAGCCACCTTCCTGATGGCCCTGCCCTCATCTGCCGACCCACAGGTGCCTCAGGAAGGCCTCCCCGGTGACGCTTTCCGGTCCTCTCTGCTGTGCCCGCAGCCCCAAGCCTTGGGCCAGTCCATCCTGCAGGTTGAAATGGACTGTGACCTGCACAGCTCGCTCCAGGTGTGTGAGCGTCCGCACTGGGCAGCGTCTGGGGTGGGGGCTTGTCTCGTTCCCAGGGGCGGTGGTGACCCCTGCACCGGGTCTCACAGAGCCCCAGGGTCACCGGTGTGTGTCCGTCCCACGCAGCCCTTGCTCTTCCCTGTGGATGCCAACTGCAACGGAGTGTTCCGGCATCGCTCGGCCTCCCCCAGCAGCCTGCTGGAGACGAGCATCAGCGAGGAGGTCAGGCCGGGCACGGGCGCGGAGGAGGGGCAGCAGGCACAGAGGCCCCTGCCCGGCAGCACAGGCCGGAGGCACACGCTGGCCGCAGTCTCCACCCTCTCCCCGTGCGCCCCTCCATGTAAGTGTCCCCGTGGGCAGGCGCACGGCCGGTGAGTGGGTTTGCGGTCAGGGCTACGAGGGGCTGATGCCAAAAGCACCTGTGCTGCTTATCCGCCTCTCCTGGTTACACCTCCAGCTCAGCCATTGGTTTAACCGCCAAGGCCACAAGGGTCACACTTACTCCATGTGGTGGTTCAGTGGTGGGGACAGCGTGGGGCTTAGCAGCCCCCAGGTGTCAGGAGGGCAGGTCCTCATCCCGGGCCCCTCTGTGTCCTGGGTCAGCTCCCTGCATCAGCTGCAGCCGGGACCCTTGTGCCAGCTGATGGTCAGGGCTCCCCGGTTTCTGGTGGCCTCTGGCCGTCATAGACTCCCACATCCCCAAGGTGGAGGGTGGAGATGGGGAGGCCAGCGCAGCTGTTGGGGCCACGAGGGTTGTCCCAGGGCCTGAGTGTCACCGCTGTGCGTGTGCAGAAGGCAGCAGAGCCGGCTCCTCTCCTGGGAAAGCTGTCGGTGCCTTGGGGTGCATCGGCCTTGGGGTGCGTGAGGAGCCCCCTCAGGAACGCCCTGCCCCTTCTGCAGGTATACTCATCTCCTCCTCCTCCTCCTCCTCGGCGAGCCCTTCAGAAGGCACCAGCTCCGACAGCTGTCTCACCTCAGCGGGCAACAGCCCGGTGGGGCTCAGCGGATGCCTGGCCGCTCAGGGGCTGGTGGGCACCTGCACCCCACTCAGACTGGCCTCGCCACTGCTGGGGGCCCAGTCTGCCACCCCAGTGCTGCAGGCTCAGGGGGCCCTGGGAGGAGCCACCATGCTCCCCATCAGCTTCCAGGAAGGCCGGAGGGCTTCGGATACCTCGCTTACTCAGGGTGAGTCCCCTTCACTCCCACTTCCACCTTCCCCGGGAGATGCTGTGTGTGGCCCCAGAGGGTCGCTTTGTCCTTGATGGCAGAGGCGCCCCCGCTCTGTAGCTGGGTCTGGGTAGAGCAGCAGTGCTCTCTGGGCTGGCCGCAGGTGCTGCCCAGGTTCTGGACAGCCTGGTCGCCAGGACAGAGTCACCCAGCCTCTGGTGGCTGCTCTGAAAAACCCAAAAGACACTTGGATACCAGACAGCGGCTCCTGCCTGGAAGAGCGATGGGGTCAGGGAGGGACCCTCCCCACCACCCAGAGCTTCGGGGGGGTCTCACCCCCTCCCTAGTCCTGTGGCACTGACCGCACCCTTCTGCCACGACAGATCTGTGGTCTGCCCTGACGCACGCCTGTTTGGTGGTAGAACTACTGCCCCAAACCAAACCCCAAAAGAAGATGACTTCCAGCTTCGGGGAGGGAACGGGGAGGTTGTAAAAAGTGGTCAGATGACCAGCGAGCACCCTGAGCCCTGCAGGAAAGCACACTAGTCCCTTTACCCATCGCCTCGCGTTGCCTGGGCCTCCTCACCCCTCCCCGCCGTCTGGAAAGCCCAGCCAGCCTCAGGCCGCTGGTTCTGCGCTGGGGGCCTGCGGTCCTGAGGTCCCGTCCATCTGCCTCCCCCCAGGCCTGAAAGCCTTCCGGCAGCAGCTGAGGAAGAACGCAAGGACCAAAGGATTTCTGGGGCTGAACAAGATCAAGGGACTGGCTCGCCAGGTGTGCCAGCCCTCCGCCAGCCGAGCCGCGCGGGGCGGCCTGAGCGCCTTCCCGCTGCCGGCGCAGAGCCCGGGCGTACCCTGCGGTGGGGCCAGCAGCCGGGAGGGCAGAGGCCTGCTGGAAGAGGTGCTGCGCCAGCAGAGGTAGGCCGCTCGGCGCCAGGCGCCTGTGCGTCGGGGTTTCTCTCGAGCCCCCCTTTCTCCATGTCGTCAGATAAGCACACCTCCCTGCCCAGGTGGAGGCCTGTGAGGCCTTGTTCCCCGCAGATGGTGGCAGAGGTGGGGAGCCGTCAGGTTTTGTCACTTTGAAGCCTGCAAGTGGGGGGTGAAGGGGGGCAGTAAGTAAAAATGTCACATCTGGTTGGTATCTCTGAGCTGCCACAAAAGCACGACGGAGAATGGAAATGTCAGGAATTGCTCAGGGGGTTAGTCACACAGCACTGCGTGTTCTGAGCAGCTCCAGCCAGCAGTTTCACGGGGCGTGGACGCCAATAGTGCCCGAGCCTGGCGGGTGGAACGTGACAGGAGACGCGGCAAGCAGGGCCGGTAGTGACCTGCGCCGTCGCTGTTCCTTCGTCTCCCGGCAGGTTGCTCCAGTTACAGCACCACCCGGCAGGCCTGCCCGGCTGCCCGCAGGCCCCCCACCCGCCCCCGGCCCCGCTGGTCCTGGCCCCCTGCCACGGTGCCCTCCTTGTGTCAGGACTCCAGAAGGAGCTGGGGTTGGGGCCCTGCCCGCTGCTGCCGCCGCACATCCTCCAGGCTGGGGTCTCCCCGGTGGGCTCGGCAGCCCAGCTCCTGGACGCCCACCTCCGCATCAGCGCGGCCTCGGCCCCCCTCCCCACCGCCACGCCGCTGCAGCCACATTTTGCCATGCTGCCCCCTGGCTTTGACCCCATGGGGCTGCCGCAGGGGGACTGCGAGATGGAGGACCTGACCTCTGGCCAGCTGGGCACCTTCGTCCTGGTGCAGTGAGGGACACGGGCTGCCGCCCTCTGCCCCAAATGGGCCGCCGACTCCTCGAAGCAATAATCTGAGTATGTGAAGACGTTTCCGGACTCAAAGCCAATAACTTCCGAGAAGCAAAACAAGCAATACGTTTGGTGTTTTGGCTTTTTAGTTTATATTTTGTTTTATTTTCTCCTTGCACTGAGCGACTGCTACCATGAGTCGGGACTGGACAGTTTTTGAAGAAAAATAATAATGGAGGGTGTGTCGTGGGGGTGGGCGGACGGGGTGGGGAAGGAGGGAGTGGATGAGAGATGGATGACAGCTGGCTCGGTGAGTTGGGTCAGGGCCACTGGTGGCAGGATCGGACCGGCGGCTCCCTGGTCCATGGGCACGTCGCGTCACGAGCATTGCCTTGGGCAAAGCCACTGTGTGAGCCCTGCACGTGCGAACGAGTAGGCACGTCTCCACCCATGTGTGTGCGTGTGTGTGCGCGTTGAGAAGTTTTTTTTTGTTTTTTAGTTAACAATTATCTACTTCCGGAAACACTTAGCTTCAAATGAAAGCTGTGAACTTTCTGCTTTATGTATCGGTTTTTAAAAAGCTCTAAGGCCAGCCCAGGAGAAGATAATCTACAAATTCTCGGAATTCTCTCCCCTGAAGTCAGAACCCACAGGATCATTATACCTTCTTTTTTAGATGAGACGTTTTATAAACTGCTCAAGAGTTGGTTTCCAGGATTCTTTGCAAGAACCTCAAAGGGGCGGGCTGGCTGCAGGGCACTTGCCCAGCCAGAGGAGTTTCCTCCTGCCTCCCGTCTTACTTCCGCTGCTAATTAAGTTTTTATGCATTTCATTATCAGGGTCCAAAAAGAACAGCTGACTGGGGAATGTGCAATACGGAGGCCTGGGCTTGGGAGGCGCAGGCGTAAGGGGGTCACGGCGGTGGCGGGCCTGCCCTGGTGGGTGGCAGCCCCCCCTTACCCAGGCCCCTTGTTAGGCTTTCGTTCATGAAAATGAAATGACAGGTCAGGTCAGTATTGTTCAAGCTTTGCTCCTTTTTTTTTTTTTTTAAAGCAAATACTGTATATGTATATAAATAGGAGACAAATAGACACTACTTATTTTTTATATTTTTTACTACACCTTTGTGTTCCCGGTTTCAATTCCCCTCTGATAACATTACAAGGCGCTGACACCAGGTTCGTGTAGGAGGGAGACAAGGTGCGTCCTTACCTGGCAGGTAGACTCAGGTGGTGGCTCTTGGGTCCGAGGCCTCTGGAGGGAGAGGAGGGTCGTCCCGGCACACCCCTGCACTGGTCAGCACGGCCCTTTGCCCCAGGTGCCTTCCGTTCACGGCTCTTACACCCTTCAGTATTACACAGGTGATGACCATCGGGGAAGGTGGGCGTTCGTGAAAGCCAAAGATGGCCCACTTTTCTGGAGGGTGGGCAGGTGGGCGGCCCCTGCAGCTGCGTTTGCTCGTCCCGCCACTGCTGTGCACTGGCTGCTTCAGGGATTGGGTAAGGGATTGTCCCGGCCACAGACACCACCAAAGCCCCCGCTGACCGAGAGGAAGGTGTGGGGCGGAGAGAGACCCGAGCGAGTGTCCTGGGCCGGCCGGGCCTGCACCCCGTTCCCATGGGCAGCACAGGGACCCCACAGAGGCCGCTCCCCTCTGACACTCACTGCTGTTCTAACGCCAGAGATCAAAGGCCTCAGAACCATGGCAAGCACTTTATACTTTCACGGTTTCTTTCTCGTCGCTGTAAGTCGAGCTGTGTGTCCTGTTTGTAGGTGTGCGTGGTGTGTGTTTCCTAGGTTTCTCCACCGCTCTTCTCAGATGAATGCGACAGCCTGTTGAAAGGCCCTCTCCGTCTGATTAAGATGTATGTGGTTGGTTTGTTGGTTTTTTTTTTTGGTTTTTTTTTTTTTACTGTAACAGTTAATTATTTTTTATGTTAACATGAGAAATGTATGCCAAATGATTAGTGGATGTCTGTTTTTTAATTTAATATTTAAATAAAATATTTGGGGGAAAAATGTTGGCTTTTTCCCTCGGTTCATCCCTGTGGGAGCACCGTCCTTCCGAGCCGCCTCACTAAGGGGCCACGTCCTCCAGGTTCATTGGCATTTCAGGTTTTAAAGGAGGTTGCCTGATGCCAGCTGCTGCTGACGGCGACCCAGCAGCAGATGCAACACCCCTCGCCGCCCTGGGCCCTGTGGTGGTCGGCGGCTCGGGGGTCTGCACAGGACGGGTGGCCAGAGGCTGGCATTGGGGTGCCTGCTGGGGCTGCTGGTTTCTAGGCTCCTTTCGGGGTGGGGGGGCAGGCTCTACTAGTCCACGAGCATTTGACACCCAGGTCTGTTTGCAGTTGGTTCTTCCCTCCATTCACTCTTCACTCTTTCCTTTATCACGTTCTCTGAATCCACTTATAAACCAAGGATTTAGAAAAATCTCATAGCCAAACTATCTCCTGGTCTCTTAGTTGGCTTTGCCACCTTGCAGTAGAGCCGATGTGGCTGCTGAAAGAACAAAGCATCTTTTTCATCCTGTGCCTGGCAAATAGGTTTCGGTTAGAAAAAATGTTCCCCAACCTCTTTACACCCATTAGGATGGTCAGTTCCAAAAATCGTAAGCTCGGTGTTGGCGAGGGCGGCAAACAGAGCCCTCAGGCACTGCTGGTGGGGAACGGACGGCTGCTCCTAAGTGACGCGGAATCAGCAGTGTCCAGCAGCCCCGCTGGGCACAGACCCAGGGAATTGAAAGCAGGAACTCGAAGAAACACGTGCACACACGTGTTCATGGCAGCGTCTTTCACAGCAGCCAAGGGGTGGAAGCCACCCATGTGTCCATCCAACCATGACTGGATAACAAATATGGTCCATCCACACAGGAAGCGTTATTCAGCCCTGACAAGGAAGGGCCTTCTGACACATACTTTGACATATGAACCCTGAGGACATCGTGCTCAGAAAACAGGTCAGGTACAAAAGGACAAATAGTGTATGATTCCCCTTACACGAGGTCCCTAAAGCAGTCAGATTCATAGGGACAGAAAGTAGATGGTGGACAGAGTTTGAGTGTGGGAGGATGGAAGGTTCTGGAGATGATGGTGGTGACAGTCACACAGCTGTGAATGAGCTGCCCTTAAAGTGGTTCAGATGGTGAATTTTTTGTTATGCGTATTTTACCACCATGGGGGACATGCCCAGAGACGGACAGTAGCTCCTTGTGCAGAGCCAGGCCCCAGGGCGCGGAGGCAAAGGGCGTGCCCCTGGGAGTCCCATCCACAGGAGCCCCGTGGAGACCAGGATGTTCCCATGGCCTGGGGATGACAGTGTCCAGTGTTGCCTAAGTGCAGCAACGCGTCTGGGAGGCCGGTGTGACCTCATGGCCTGTCACGGGGAGGAGGCCCCAGCAAACGCCTCCTTGTTTGGGCAGTTAGGCTGCTTGCTTGAGAACAGAGTCACACCATCCTACGTCACGAGCTGTGACTCCCGGTGACAGGAGCTGTGAGGTGCTCTGACAGGAAGGCCGATCAGAACCCCTGCCCCCTCTCCCCCACTCCCCAGGAAAACTCAACAATCCTCTCGCTCCCTGACTTGTGCGTGGCCCAGGGAGCTGGCTCTGAGCACTCAGCCCCTCGGCCACCATGGCCTGGAGAGCAGGGCCAGGCCCTGTGGTGTTTGCTGTGGACAAGACTAAGGGAAATCTCAGGTTACCATGTGGGACGTAGAGTCTTATAAATGAGGAAGAACTTGAGGTGTGTGTATCTTGGCTTCCCAACTAGGTGGTCCGCTCCTGTGGAGCCCATCGGGTCACATTCTATGCCAGGAGCACCGAGCACCAGCCGGTGAGGCTCTCCAGAGAATAGCTGGTGGCCATGGGATGCCCGTGGTCACTGCTCCGTGGTTCTTCCAACCTCACAATATGCCGTTAGCATTATTATTATCATGGTTATTGTTAACCTTAGAACCTTCAGGTCAGGAACGGGAGTCTTGCGCAGGGAGCCTGCTCAGAGACCTTGTGGGATGCTAGGAAAAGGTCGCGGGCTTGTCGATCTGCTCACGATCCGTCTCCCATCCGCAGATGAAGAGGCCAGCGTGGCTCTATGTGAAGGGATCCCCTGGGCCCACCACCTGCGTCTGGCTCTGCCAACATTTCTGTGGATGAGCGCAGCTGCTGGGGTGTGTCACAGGATGTTGACACTGGATGCGTCTGTTCCTGTTGGGTGTGGCAAGGCTGAGCGTGTTTTAGCACATCCCTCAGCACACGGTCTCACGTCTTTGTGACTTCTGAGATTTTCTTTCTCCCGACCCCTCTGGTGAGGGTCCAGGTATAGCCTGAAGTGGCGACCGCTGCAGACAAGTGGCTGCCTTAGTCCTTGCTGATGTAAGCTGCAGCCAAATCCAGCGGGCCCCACATGCAAAAGAGCATGTGGCCTAAGAAGGTGGCCTCTGGCGTCAGACACACCTGGGTTTGGTCCCCACCCTGCAGCTTCTTAGTCCCGTGACAGTGGACAATGACTGCCCAGTGCGCTGGCTTTCTCGCTTTCCAGGTGGCGCACATGACAATGCAATCTACTTCTTAGGGCTGTGCAAACACGGACCCCCACAAGGACTACTTAGCAGAGCGCCTGGCACACAGCGAGCATGCCGTGGACACAGCAGTGCCGGTTGTGTCGTCACAGCCAGGAGGGCAGGGGTCCACGAGGGAAGCAGCGCCTGCACAGCAGGTCACTGGCCACAATGCTGGGCTGGCAACCGCTGGCTCCTCCCACAGGAGGAGGGAGACCTTTACCTAACGCTGCTCCAGGTGCCATCCATGTGTTGCTGTCACTCCAAGCTGGTAGCGCTTCTGCTGCTGGGCCGGGCTCGTGTGTGCTAGAGCGTACCCTGCCTTCAAGAGCAGGTCCTTCTGGGGAGCAGAAGACGGGTAGCTCAGGAATGAGGCCGGATTCCGTGGGCAGGGGCACGGGGACAGTGTGGACGGGCCGTGAGGGAAGTTCCAGGCCGGAGATGAGGCTCATCTCAGAGGCGGGAACCGGATCTGACTTAAGAGGAACTGACTTGTTTGGGGCGGAAGAAAACATGTTGGCTTATTGGGTTTCCCTCCAGAATAACAGCTGGGTGTTTCTGTGGTCGGGGGCAGGGCACACAGTCACCCTGTACATGACCTTTGACCTTGGCAGGGGGTCCTCTGCAAGAGCATGACAAGGGTGGAGAGTGCTTCCAGGACCCACCCAAGGTTTCGAAGGCCTGGCTCTGTGGGCTACTGTCCAGGCTGAGGCGAGAACCCTGGGAGCTGGAACGTGGGCTCCGGACAGCAGCTGGGAGGCTGGTGGAGGGCAGGGGAGGGGCGGGGAAAGAGCGGGCTGGTGGGGAGGGCTGCAGGGAGTGTGTGCAGCTCCCCAGGGGAACTCCCGGGGTCTCAGTCTGACTCACTCCTCCTTAATTATCATCATTTCACTTATTTGAATGTGATTTCTGCAAAAACTAGAAAGGCCTTAAGCATCACTCAGGGAGCCCAGGTGGCCAGAGCCCTGACCCCGTCATCTTTAAAGGCTGTGCGGTAGATGAAGGACATGGACTCCAGGCCAGCCCGCGTCCCTGCAGGGTTTTGTTTTGTTTTGTGTTAAATCTAAGGGGGAAGGTATCTTTCTTCCTCCACAGAATGCATTGCCTTCCAGCAAGCAAGGGGCTAAGTGAAAGGCCCGGGACTGCCAGGTCCCACTGGACGGAGGATCAAAGGCTGTGAAGGACACAAGGCATGGAAGCCCCCCCCCCCGAAACAGGGTACCCCAGGACAAATCAGCTTGCCAAGGTGTCACTGACATACAGTAAAATGCACCTATCGTAATATAGTTCAATGAGCTTTGACAACATTCTGACCTGCGTGGCCACCACCAGAACCAACACACAACGTTTCTGTCACCCAGAAGGCCCCCCAGGGCCTTGGCGGGGGCACCCTTCCCGCTCTCGGAGCCCCAGGCAGCTGATGGCCTGCTTTCTGTCACTGTGGGGTAGTTTGCATTTTCTAGAATTTCCTACGAAAGGTCACACAGTGTGCCTGGCTTCTCTCATCAGCATAATTGTGTGGAGACTTGTCCAAGTGTGGCGTGTGTCACTGGTTCCGTCCCTTTTCCTGCTGAGTAGTGTTCCGGGGTGTGGGCGGACCAGACGTTGTTCATCCATTCGTCATTCCCCTGCTGGTGGACGTTTGGGTTGTTTCTGGTTTGGGGCCCTCACAAAGGATGCTGCTGTGAATGCTTGTGGGAGTCTTTGTGTGGTCGTGCTTTGTTTTTCTTGGGTAACAGAGGTAGAAACACAATGGCTGCATTGGATGGAGGACAGCCCTTACCTTTATAAGAAGTTGCCACATGGTTACCCAAAGGGGCTACACCAGCTCACACACAGGGGCGGCTCCACGTCTGCACCAGCACTTGGTGGTGTCAGCCTTTCAAATTCTAGCCATTTTAATAGTTTATTTGTCATATGTTTATATATGCGCATGTGTACAAATAGATGTGCACACATGTATATATACACAGGTGGTGTCTACACACATGCATATATGTATATATACACACATGAGTGTATACACAAATATCTCATATATATATGCGCACGCACACACACACAATATTTCTATCTGTGGCTTGCCTTTCATTTGAAGAGTAGAGTTGAAGGTTTTATTTTTTATAAAGTCCAACTTATTATTTTATCTTTTCTGGTTAGTGCTTGTGGTGTCCCGTCTAAGAAATCTCTGCCTCCCCCAGCGTTGACTCTGTTCCCTGCTAGAGGATCTATGCTTTTAGCTTTTATATCCGAGATTACTTTTGCCTACGGTTCAGGATAGCAGGGACTGTGTCTTTATGACTCCATTTGTCTCCATGTGGAGAGGGGTTGTGGCACACCTCCCGCTGCCCGCTGCCCATTGGCCAGACTGTGGACACATGGCCACACCTGGCATCAGGGGGGCTGTGGACTTCCTCGAAGCTGCCGGCTTTTATTGTGTTTTCTAGAGCAGTGATCATATAAGATTTATTTTTATGATAACAACAAGAATGACAAAGTTTGAGAACCACAAACTAACACACAGCCTTGATTGACAGATGTGGAGATAGAGACTTAGTGAGGACCAGTAAGCTCACTTTTCCATGAGCTCCGAGCCTGGCACAAAGGCCACCAGGCCTCTCTGTACGACTTCGCTTCTCCGCGGAGGGCAGTGAGGCTGGTTCCCGCGCCTGGCCCGGCTGTGGCCCCTCCGGCCCCTCTCTTCCGCCCTGCCACCCAGGTGACAGCAGCACGCGCCCCAGGCTGTCTGAGGACCAGCGAAGACAGGCACAGGTGGAATGTGGAGCAGGGGATGCCAGCAACACGAGCTGCTGTTGTTTGTCATTAAGAAGCCTGTCCCTGTCGTTGGCCACCTGGATGCCAATGTGTGTTTCTACTCCTGCCTGGTGGGGACGGCGGTGCCCAGAGGCTTGGGGCTGGTGTTTCAGCCCGGGTCAGCTGAGCCTGGCTCCCGCTCTGGTCCCTGGACGCGCCTGTCCATCTCTTGCTGGGCAACCACAAGCCCCCAAAGAGCAAATGAGGGAGAGAAGGGGGCCCTGGGGTGGGGCCCACCATTCAAACGGGCACAGGGACAGCCTTCCCCACGTTGGGTCACCTGGGTCTCCCAGGTACAGAGCCTCCTAAGGCCTGCCAGGGCCAGCCAAGCTCTCACGTCAGCTCCAGCCAGGCCCCTCCTGGCGGGAGCTGGCTGACAGGCTCTGCTACCGAGCGGGGATCCTCGGGTGGAGGTGATAGACGGATGGTGGCAACAGGGGCCCAGTAGGCGGGGCCTGGAGGCCACCCCTGGGAGCCCTCCAGACACGTGGCCCTCCTGGCGGCTCTGCGCACTCCCTCCTGTGCTCTGCGTGGCAGGCAGCCTGTGCTGTGGCATTCTGGGCCAACGCAAAGAAGACATTTAGCGAGCAAGCTCCCTCTCCGTGTGGGGTATAATTAATTTTCCTGAAATAGGCATCACAGCCCAATGGTCTTTGCTTGTCTGAGTCAGGCGGTGATTATCTCATGGGCACCGTGTGCCAACGGCCACTGGGAACTCAGGGTGCCCACAGCTACCAACACTGCTGGGGTGATGCAAGGGAGGGTTCAGGGGAAGGCCAGGGGTGGGGGGCACAGCCCACCCCAGCCACTCTGCCCAGAGGCTGCGGGGCCAAGGAGCACACTCAGTCCCCAGGTCAGGGTGATGCCGAGAGTGGCCCGGCACGTCACAAAGCTGGTGGCTGGTGTGTGTGGGGGGGTGGCGTGTAAAGCTTGGATGGGGCTGCCCTCTGAATGGAGAGCAAAGCTGGGTTCTGTGGGGGGAAGAGGGGACGCACCTTAACACACACCCGGCAGTGGTGGCAGGAGAAAGGCCCCCAGGACCCAGCGAGGTTGGGGCTGGTCACAGCCTTACGCTGGGCACGGCCGGTAGTGAGGATGCAGGCGGAGCTGACATCCGAGGCCCCTGTGCCGAGGTGTTGTGGGGTCACCCCTGCCCTTTCCTGGGCCTCTTGGTGGCAGCTGGTGGGGAACAGCACCTGCAGAGGAGGGAGTGGCCGTCCTGGCACCGGGAAGCCGGTGCTGGCGTGGAGGGTGGACGCAGCGTTTCCGGCTGTAGGAGGTGTGGGCTGCGGGCCCCTTCTGCGGGCAGCGCCCTCCACAGGCAGGGCCGGGGAAGCCGCGCCTTCTCCCCCTTCGTTCCTGGGCTCCTCGTCTGTGCTCAGAAAGCCTGGAGCCTCGTCCATCGGGAAGGCTAGGAGCAAACAGGCCTTGTCCCCGTGGAGCTGCAGAGGGGAAACAGGCCTCAGAGGTCCGCGGTGGAGGGGAGCTGCAGCCTGGCTGTGGCAGGACACGGGGCCCACCGCCCGCTTCCTTCTCTCTGTCTGTGGCCAGCGTGGCAGCACGCCTCACAGCCTCCACCCCAGCTCCCCAGGCTCTCCCACTCAGCCCATCTCCCAGACGGAGACACCGGAGGTTAGGTCCCTCAGCCCGGGTCACAGAGGTGGTGAACGCGGAGGGCCCTCAGGCCTGGCAGCCAGACCCAGAGCTGTCCTGGAAAGGGATGGGACCCTCCAGGCCTCCCCACGGCGGGCTCCCCGTTTCCTTTGCCGTCACCGCCCTCTGGAGCCCCTCCTCACCTCCAGGAGACCAGCCAAGAGCAGGTGTGGAGTCAGCACAGGCCCCCAGGGAGGAGGTGAGCCCCGGTTCCTGAGGGGGTTTCCACTGATCCTTTCTTTGGAGGAAGGCGGGTGTTGTGGGTTGCACTCTGTCCCCCAGAATGACATGTTGAAGCCCTAACCCCATGCCTGTGAGTGTGACCTTATTTGGATGCTGAATATTTGCAGATGTAAACAAGTTAAGCTGAGGTCCCTAGGACGGGCCCTAAACCCAGCAGGACAGGTGTCCTCATGAGAAGAGGGGAATTAGGACACGCGTGGAGGGAAGACGGAGGTGGAGACGGAGGTGGAGACGGGGGTGATGCTGCCAGAAGCCAAGGGACGCCTGGGCCCCCAGAAGCTGCACAAGATGGGAGAGGCAGGAAGGGCCCTCCCCGGAGCCTCCTCTGGAGGGAGTGTGGCCCTGCTGGCATTCGGATTTGGGGCTTCCAGCCTCCGGGCCTGGGAGGGAATAAACATCTGCCCCGTAAGCCCCTCCGCCTCGCCCCAGTCTGTGGTATTCGATACAGTAGCCACGGCACAGGCCACAGAGGCCAGGGCAGGCAGGTTCCCATCCCTGAAGAGGAAGAGCCCACGGCCTCGGTCACAGGGTGTCCTGGGGGGGGGGACACGTGGAGCGGCCAGGCCTCGTCCCCTTGGTGCTGTTTCTGTCCCCAGATGTGCCCCTTCCCTGCCCTGCCTGCCCCACAGCCAATGGAACAAGAGCACGCCATCTTCAGGGAGACACGGGACTTTGGGGGTAGGCGGAGGGGGTGGGGAACAGGAAACATGACGCCACCCCCTCCTCCTCGGGAAGCCTGGCCTCTTCACCCCTGAATTTCAGAGGGAAGTGAGATCCCGCCCGCCCGGCACGGCCACGCTTTCCTGTGGAAGGGGTCAGGGTGCGCCTGGCTGTGTGTCCAGAGGCTGGACTCCACCCCTGTGGTGCTGTCTTCCCATGAGGCCAGGCTTCAGGGGTCTCCCCCTGAGCTGGCGGGGACCTCAGCCACCCTCCTGGAGGGACAGCCTTGCTCCCAGGGCCCAGGACTAAGGGACTAAGGGAGCAGCCAGCTGGCAGGCGAGGGCCAAGCGAGGGCCAGGGTTGGGGGCAGCTAGGCCAGTGCCCGGCCTGTGGAGGGTGGAGAGCCTGGTACAGGGCCTGCCCGCCCCAACACAGAAGGGGCCTGGCGAGGAGGGCCCGGAGGGGTGGGCTTCGGTGGGGCCAGCACTGTCCCAGTGGCCACAGCAAGGGTGGGGGTGGGGCCAGGGCGAGGGGCTCACCCTGGCATGCCAGCTGCACACCCTCACGCCATTCCCTGCAGCTGGGGTCCAAGCTGCTGAGGGACACTTGTCCTGATCTGCTGGGGTACCCCAGTGGATGTATTGGGGTGAGCAGGGAGCGAGCCTGCACCCCGCCGTCTCCCAGCCTTGCTCTAGGGGTGTGGGCCTGGGCGGGGCTGTGAGGGGTGGGCTGTGGTGGCCCAGCAGCCAGACTCCGGGCCTGGTTGATGGTTTCCTGGCCCTGAGGCCCAGCCCCTCTGGGGACCAGTGGGGCCTCTTCTGACTTGTCTTTAGGAAGAACACCGATTCCCCACAGCTCCCACTGCTGCGGCCCTGTGAGGGCCCATCCTGGGCGCGGGCAGGTGGCCTTCCCTCCTTGGGAAAAGGGAACTGAAAGCGCAGAGGGAAGTGGTCTGCCCCCAGGCGGGCAGAGCAAGTGCAGGGCAGGGAGTCACACGGCTCTCTGTGCGGAAGGGGCCAGCGGACGCCGGGCTGGTCGTGGTTCTAGAAAAGAAAAGGCCCTGGCGAGGAACCCTGGGCCTCCGCCAGCGTGCAGCCAGTCCCGGACACCCGCGCCTGGGAGAGCCCGTCAGGGTGTCTCAGGGCAGCACCCCGTAACCAGGCTCCCCTTGTGGGGTGGGGCTCCCACAACAGAGCAGACAGCAAGCCCTGGGAGTGGGTGACGCTGCGTGGGGCAGGGTGTGGGCCCCCCACCCCTGCCCCCACGAAGGCTACTCACCTGCGGTTCACATGGGGTGGGAGCAGGGAGGGTATGAGGTGACGGCCGGGCCAGGGGCCTGTCCCCTCCAGAGGCCGCCGGAAGCACGCTCACCGTTGCTCCCCAGGGAAGGCCCTTCCTCATGTTCCCCCAGCTCAGGATGTAGAAGCGCCTCTCTGGAGGTGGCAGGCATGTGGCCTCATGGAAAGGACTGTGGGGACAGCGGGGAAACTGAGGCCAGGGGGAAGGGGAGCTGCTGCTGAGTCACCGGCAGCCAGGATCAGCAAGGCACACCTCGTGGGTGGCAGATCTAGGCAGCAGGCCCTGCAGCCCAGCGACAAGCAGGGTGCCGTCACACCTGGTCCCTCACCCTCACCCCCTCACCTCTGCCCAGGGGGCTGCTCCGTGGTGAGCGTTTGCACACATTGGCACACACGTGGGTGCACAGACCAGGGGGCATGCAGGCACAGGAAACCACTGTCCCCTGTCCTGACTCAGTCACCAGAACAGACTTGAAGAACAAATATTTGTCCCCTGCTGCAGAGAAGGAAGCTGAGGTTTCAGAGGTTCAGTGACTCAGACGACACCCAGCTCACCAGTGGTGTCAGCCTGTGTGATTACAGGTCAGGTGCCTGAGAGCCGGGAGCAGCGCTGTTGACCAACAGGTCAGGTGGGTGAGCCCCTGGCAGGAGAGGGGCATCTCATGTTGGTCAGCGTGACCGCAGGGGGACAAGTGACCACAAGGGGAGAGGTGACCACAGGGGTCAATGTCCACCCCACAGAGCAGATTCTATGGGAGGGGGCAGGGGAGTAGACTCCCACCTTGCGCCCTGGACGCAGGCTGGCCATGAACAGGGCCTTTGTTTCCTCCGAGCATGTGGGCTGGCCTGGGGCTGACCTGCTACAGCTCACAATCCCCAGTGCTTTGGGTCCCTCTGCCACAAGCCAGAGGTCTCAGGTCAGCAAGGGGCTGCTGCCTGTGCATGTGTCTGCCTGTGTCTGTGTGCCTGTGCGTGCGTGTGTGTGTGTGTGTTCCTGAGTCTGAGCCTCTGCTGTAACAGGAAAAGTGCAGCATGGTCACAACAGTGCAAAGTGTCTTGGAGGGGGCTGCAGGAACCTGAGGCAGCCGAGAGGACGTGACTGCTGAGGCCGACACCAGCTTTGCTCCAGAAACCAGATCAGTGCAGACTTTCTCTATCCTGCTCCAGTGGCTCCTGTGCATCCAGGCAGAAGCAATGCAAGTTTACTGCAAATTGGGTTCCTGGTAGCCTTAGTTTGTCATCAAATATTATGCCACAAAGAGGGCCCCTGAGGGGAGCAGAGCTGGCCAGCGTGCAGAGGGCCAGCTCAGCTCAGCGCGTGGTTTCTAAGGATATCACCATTAGACCACGGGGCCTCCATGCCGGCCACCTGTACCTGCTGCCCTGTCCAGTGGAGCCCGCCCTGAGCCACAGGCGGACAGCTCTCTGGCCTCTGGGCAGAGCTGCGTCCCAGCCTGGCTGGGTGTGAGCTCAGCTGACTTGCTGCACACGTTACTCTGTCATTGTGTAAACATGGGTCCTCTTCAGGTGGTATTTCAACCTCGGGTTTGAAACTTAGGTGACTTTTTCTTTGCTCCTTTTGGGGGTTAGACACAGGCCAAGCGCAGGGACCCAGCAGCCCTGACAGATGTGCAGAGTTCCCCAGGGCGGTCCACCTGCCCCAGGTCCTTCTGGGAATGGGGAGCTGCAGCCCCTCGGCCCGGGAGGCCCTGCCCACCGGGAAGTCCCCACCCAGGTCCCTGCAGGGCAGTCTTGGCCTCCTGGGGCTGCCGTGGGTTGAGGTGCCACCCTTGCCCTTGGCCCCGGCTCCGTGAGGCCCCCTCCCTGCCCCTGGGAGGGTGGGGGCTTCCAGATGGGCTCCCTGTGCTCCAGCTTCCAGGCCTGTGCTGGCTCCATGAGGCGCGGACACTTCAGTCTACAAGACGACGGCCCTGGAATCCCGTGCATGGTCCTGTCTTGCCCTAACCAACTCTGCTCCGGAGCCTGGGGCCAGCTTCCTTATGACCTTGGGCTGAGGACATCTGATTGGCTGGTCTAGGCAAGGCCCACACTAGGCATCAGGTCCACCCTACACGGAGGGCCACCGGGAACCCCCTGCAGCCTCCCCGGGACGCTGAGCTGGGCCTTTGCCCCGCCCCGAGGTACCAGGCAGGCCCTGAACAGGCCAGGTGGCCGCTGAGGCCTGGAGCCCACATTCTGTAAGCCAGGGCTGCCCCAGGCCCAGGAGATTTGAGGGGGCATGAGCGTGGGAGGGTCCACCTGTGGCACAACTTGTGGGGCCCAGCAGCCACTGTTCAAAAAGGCTGAGACTGTCAAGGCACCGACAGAGCTGCGGCCCTGAATTCCATCATGCAGCTCGGGGGGGACTGCAGACTGAGGGTTTGTTGGCAAATGACGTCTGGTGGCTGTGAAGTGTTTACTCCCCTGCCTGCCCCAGGATGGAACGCAGCTGTGTTGCCACACAATGCCCTGCTCACTGTTTTCCTTACCTGGCCTGTACCCCAACACCCTCTGCCGTTCCCAGCCCACGGGGCCATCTCGATTCTTCCAGGGTTGCACCTGAACTCGCCCTTTGAGACCCGGCCTTGCTGTCTTCCCCTTGTTTGCTCAGCACCCTGCACACCTCTACCTGAGCGTCTGGTACGTTAACCTGCCATTCCCACATGACTGCTGCTCTCCCTGCACCAGTTAGAACCGTCCCGTTGCAAAATCCCAGTTCCAGTGAATGTCAGTGAAAGGGAATTCATTGGCTTACATTAACTACATCACCTGGAGCAGCTTCAGGCATGGCTAGATCCAGGAGCCCACATGATGGCCTCAAGGCTGTCTCTCTGTGTGTGTCTTGGTTCTGTTCGTCTTTGATGACTTCATTCTGGGTGTCAGCTTTCTCCCCATGGGCCGGGGGTGGCCTTTGGTGACCCCACATTTGCCATCTACCACGTGAGCAGCCTCAGAGGGAAGAGGCTGACTTTCCAGTCGCTCTGCAGACAAGTCCCAGAGGGTGTCTTACAGGGTGGCTTGGGTCACGTGAGCATTTCAGAGTCAACAACTGTTGCTGCAGAGGGGGAATGTGACTGTCCTTAAAACTGGGTAGGGTCAGTGAGCCACCAGAGCAGGTGGTTCCCCCAGCCCTCCACGCAGGCTGGCGTGGGGAGTGGGCCTCGCTCAACCCTGCTGGGCTCCCAGGCATGGAGCGCTGCACAGAGGGCCTCTTAGCGTGTGCGCACGTGTGCACGTGTGTCGTGTCATGTGTGCCTGTGTGTGTGTGTGTGTGTCTGCGTGGGGAGTGCCAGGAGGGGGTCGCTTGGTACCGCTGCCATTTTCAACCTTCGTCCCCACTTCCAGGGCTGCAGTAGAAACCTCACCCTACCTGCCACAGCCAGCTTCCAAGATGGCACCAGTGGTCGTCACTCCTTGTGCTCACGCCCTTGTGGAGTCCCCTCCCACGCTGTATCTGGGTTAGTCTGTGCGATGGTCACTGACATCCAAGACTAGGTCCCAAATGACACTGTGGTTGCCTCCTTGCTCTCTCGTGGATCACTTGCTCTGGGGGACGCCAGCTGCCACACTGGGAGGTCACACAAGCAGCTCTGTGGAGACACACGCGTGGCTGACATCTTGGCTGCGACCTCATGATAAACCCAGTGAGAACGACCCGGCACCTCCAGATCCCTGACCATAGAGACTAAGGTAATAAATGTCGTTTTAGAGTGCCAAGTTTTGGGGGTCATCTGTTACACAGCAGTAGACACCCCTCTCCTCTGTGTGTGAACCCACATGCACGTGTACGTGTGTATATGTGTACGTGCATGTTCATGCATGTGCATATACCCTGCTGGGCACAGTGGGCATTCACGCTGCCCTCAGGGGCTTTCCTGCCGCTGTGACTGCCCCCACTCCCCAGGTCTAGGGGCGGACAAGGACCCCTCCTGGGCGAGGCAGACCCCCCTACCCTGCTTTGCTTCCTGAGGCCTGCTTACACTCCTGCAAATGTCCCTTTGTACAAAGGAATCTCCAATGACCCAATTTGAATGTACATCTATTTCCTGTCAGGCTCATACCTGGCACCCCCTCCTCCATGCCATCCCCATCAAAACACAGCCAACTGCCATCAGAAGGGACCTTCCCAGCTGGAGAAACCTGGAAGCAACTTTCATCTATCCCTCAGGCTTATCCTCAGTAGCCCTGGTGACTGGTACTTAATAAAGGAGATGCAGTCAGATGCATTGGGGCAGTTCTTTGCTTTATTACTAATGGTTAAGCTCTAAACTAATTATTCAAAGGTGCAACATGCTGGAAAAAACGGGGTTCAACAGTTACCCGCTGAGCCTCTGCTGGGTGCCCTGGGGTCTGGGAGACAGGGCTCTGATCAGGGTGGGTTCCCACTGGGCTCCGGGAAATTCCAAACCAGGGACTTCCTCTCCTCACCCTGGAGCTGTGTTCTCTTTGAAGGAAGGGCTGGAAGCCAGCTCTCTTCCTGGCAGGGATTCCCCTCCCGTGTCTGCTCCCCACACCTGGGCTGTCGCCATGGAAACCCCGGAGGGGCTGGTGCCTGTGGAATAAGGGGAGTGGGGGGGTGGGCGTTGCCTGGCTCCCAAGGGCAGGGTAGGAGCCTGCCTTTGTTTAAAAGTTTGATATTTTGTTCATCGTGAATTTTGCACTAATTTTTATTTTTGACAGTATTGCCCTAAAATATTATTGATCTTGATTAGTGAGATTTTTAGCACTCCCACCCCCAAATTTTGCAACAACCTGCATGTCTTGCTTGCTGGGCCCCGGGGCCCTGTCTGGTTTCTGTCCTTGAGTGATGTGACACACGGGGCTGAGCTGGGGGCCCTCCGGAGCCTGGGTCTATGTGGTCATCTGAACAGGGCTGCCTCCTAGAGACGCAACCCCGAAGGCTGGAGCCCTGTGTCAGCACCTGGCCGGCCCCAACGGAAGCCCAGGAGCCACCAGGACACGTGAGGGGCCTGACCCACCCAGGCCAAGACTCTGGACAGCAGCAGGCCCTGGTGCAGCAGTGGGCAGCCCTGAGGGACACAGCGTGGCCACTGCAGGTCTGCTCTTCCTGAGCCGGCTGCCTCCCTGGGCAGGGACTGCACAGTGCTGGGCATGGCTGGAAGCTTCTGAGGCAGGAAAGGTCTGAAGGTTGGGGTGGATCCTCCCAGTAGAGGGCCTGGGGGCCCCGTCACGGGCGGCACTGGCCACAGTGACCCCTCATTCCAGATGGCCCTGCTGTCCGGCACTCACATGGACCCCCAGCAGCCTGGCCCTGGGCCTGCGTGCCCCCAGGAGCGGGACACTCTGCCTGGTTTGAGCAAGTCTCTGTCCTGTTGTCTGGCGCCTGGGTCTCACTGAACCACATTTTGGGGTGTCAACACGAACAGTGTATTTGGAAGCAGGTCCATGGACAGCACAATCCCAAACTTGCAAAGTGCAGGGGACACTTTCTCCTCTTTGTCTCTGCAAGTTGTCCCCAACCCTGATGCCATGGATTTGTCACTGCATTTTATAAATAGACAAGGGGCAGCAACTGTCCCCCCACACACACACCAAGGGGGGTCTGTATTAGGGGCTTCTTCTTGTCAACCACCCCACAGTCCTGACCATGTTGATGTCCTGTGCAGCCCCCTGGGGAAGAGCCAAAGTGAGGATCCTCTCGTGTGTCAGACCTGACACGTTATCGCTGCAATAAACCCTCGTAGATACGGTAGCTTTGTCTTCACTACCCTGCCAACAGCCAGAATGGTCCACTGAATCATGCATGATTCATTAATCTTAATTAAAATGCAAATATATTGCCAACCTTCTCTGATAATTAAAGTCCATTGTGGGAATCTTCCAGGATGACGTTTCTTTTGCTGAAGCAAAACAGATGACTCTGGGCTTTGCTTGCAGTGGTCCTATTAGTGGAGCTGCAGCAAGTAGACAGGTGACATCACACACACACACACACCCTGGGCACACAGGTGCAGCTATGCTCTGAGCTGCATCTTACTCAGTGGTATCAGGCCCTCGGATCCCGATTTGGCAAGGGAGGACAGAGCAAACTAGGGAGTAACACTTCCGGCAGGAAAAAGCATTCATTATTCCCTTTTAGCTGCTCTTCAAAAACTTCAAGTGGGTCAGAAGCACTGTCAGGGTTCCTGCAAGCGCCCTTCTGGAAAGAGCCAGCTTGAGCAATTAGGCCAGTCCGCGAGCTGGAGGAGGTTGCAGAGGGGGGACAGGAAGCCCCCCGTCATTGAGCTCAAGGGGGTGCTGACTGTGGGCAGAAGTGGAGCCCCAGTTTTGTGTACTTGAGCCCCGGGCTGCGGTCACTGAAGCGCACCCCCAAAGATGTGTGAGGATCGGGGCGCCTGCCTGAGCAGCGTGTGCGTGTCCCAGACAAATGGAGCTGGACGTCCGCTCGGCCCGCCCGGAACAGGGGGTGTCCCCAGGGCTTCAGAGCTAGGTTGGGGGGATGGGTGAAAAGGGTGAAGGGATTAAGAAGTACAAATTGCCAGATATAAAAACAGTCACGGGGATGTAAAGCACAGCACAGGGAATGCAGTCAATAATATTGTAATAACTGTGTGGTGCCAGGTGGGGACCAGACTTGCCGAGAGGATCACTTCCTAAGTTACATAAATGTCTAACCACTATGCTGTGCACCTGAAACTAATGTAATAGTGTGTGTCAACTGTGATTGAAAAATAAATTAATTTTAAAAAATAAAAAAGAAGAAAATGATGACTTAAAAAAATGTACAGTGTCTTGAGAACAAATCATGTAATCGCTCAAGGGATGTTTGCAAAGATTTAAAAGTTAAAATATATATATGATATTTTATTAATGAACCTAAATTTGAATTTTTAGGGAAAGACGCATTTTGAAGGACTTTCAGGCGTGTGGGGGTTTTTTGTTTTTTTTTAAAATAGACTTTATTTTTATAGCAGAGTTTTAGGTTCCCAGCAAAACTGAGGGGAAGGCACAGTGGTTTCCCACGCACCCCTGCCCCCACCCACGCACAGCCTCCCCCACCATCAGCATCCCCATCAGGTGGGGCATCTCTTACTACTGATGAACCTGCAGTGACACGTCGTCATCTCCCAGAGCCCACACTTCACATCAGGGGCCCCCTTCTGTGGGCTTGGGCACATGAACACGGACGTGTGTCCACCATCATAGCGTCACGGAGCAGTTTCACTACCCTGAACGTCGTCTGTGCTCCCCCTATTTATGCAGGACTTGCCCCCAAACCCCTGGCGCAACCCCCAACCTTTCTGCTCTTTAGATGCTTTTATTTATTTATTTATTTTTAAAGATTTTATTGGGGAATTGGGGGAGGGGAACAGACAAGTTGCTGTCCTTTTGTTCTTCAATCTAGTTGTGGAGGACGTCGCTTCACTGGCCCATGTTGGTATTATCATTGCGCTCTTCCCAGGTGAGGCAGATCTGTCGCCGGCCACTGGACGGCCACTCACAGCAGCTCACAGCAGCTCATGAAAGCACACCAGCTGCCATCCAGCCCCACTGCAGCCTACACCGTTGCCGGTGACTCATGGCAGCCCAGCTCCAGGTCGAGCTGTTGTTCACCATCTTAGCTGTAGAGGACAGTGTCTCTGGCCCTCATGTGGGATCCAAACCGGCGGCCCTGCTGCTCAGAGCTGGTGCTCCCAATAGATGCTTGCTTTTCAATGAAGCAGTTGAGCTGACAATAAATGAAAGCAGTCAAGAACAGGAAGAACCAAAGGCAAACAGAAACGGTGTGGGTATGCATGCTGGGGCAGTGGGTGGGGTCCGCGAGGCGTCTCCCTCTGGGCTCTCCCTGCAATGCTATGCAGTTCTGGGTCGCGTCTGACTGTGAGACTGAGGCAGGGGTCTGGCGTCTGTCAGTGATTCCCACAAGCCGCAGCATTTGGCGCACAGGAAATGCAGCCAGTCCTTCCTGAATAAGGAGAGCCCCAATTCTGGAGTCCGCTGAATGGGACCCTGGCCCTGCCTGGGTGCTGACTACCTACCCATGAGGTCCAGGGCAGCCTGGCACCCTTACTCCTCATCAGTTGCCTCTTGGCCAGTTGCCATGGAGACCCACTGGCACAGCAGCCTGTCCACCCCCGGAACAGGTCAGACCAGGGGCCACCCTGACCCTCAGTGTCCTCCTCCGGACACTCGCTGCTCCGCCTCCTCCCACCGCCCCCTGTCCCCTTTGGCTGTTACTGGGCCTTGAGGTCTGGTGGCTGGGCTGGTGGAGGAGCTGGCGCCAGGCCTGGAAATTCCTCCATCCTCATGAATTATTCACAGTGAAGAGAGGGCTCTGCCAGTTTCCCCACAGCCCCCAGGTGATCTTTCAGGGGGTTTCCTCAGCCTGCTGGGCTCTGAGGCCAAAACCCTTGAACAGTTCACTGGTTGTGCCCAGGGGTGGGGTGGCCTGTGTGACCCGGTTAGCTGCTGCTTCCGGCGGGTTCTTCCAGCCAGCAGCTGGGACCAGGGCCTCGGCTGCTGGCAGGGCCTGTCTCGGCTCAGGACCCTGAGGTGCGTTCGCTTGTTTTGAGGCATCTCTGGGCCACACTCCCAGCATCACTGTCCTCAGGTATCGGGCCTTCTGACCCACAGCAATCAACTCTGCAGAGCAACCACCCTGGTGAAAGCAGAGACGAGAGGAGGGGAACGGCAGGCCCCCTGTGGGCCACGTTCTCAGTGGGTTTGTTGTCTCAGGCGTGGGGACTCTGGAAGGGGCGCTGGGTCCTCTGTCCCTCCCGGGGGCCAGCAGGTGAGCTAAAGGACAAAGCCCAGTGAGGGATCCCCAGCCACACTTCCACGGAGTGTCTACGACCCTCAGGATGCGGGATCCGGGGTGCCGGTGGGCCGGTCCTTGACCCAAACAGCCCCGTCTCTTGAGCACGTGCCACCCACAGGCCATGGCCCCAGGGGTGACTGCTTGCTTTCTGGGTTTCCTCTTTCCAGCCGTCCCAGGGAAGGGTCCCGTCAGGCTAGGGGAAGCTGACCTGGCCTGAGTCAGTCTCCTGGTCTCTCTGTCACCCAGATGTGGGAGAACGTGCCTGGCTGTCCGTATGCCTTCCTGATTCCTGTGTAGCCAGCACCGCCACCCCTCCTGCCCTCAGGACACAGGACAGGCCAGCAGCCTTGCAGGGGCTTCTTTGGGCACAGCCACCAGAAAAGCCTGGTCCCTCTGTGGCTGCAGTCTCAGAGGACATTTCACCTGGAACCTGATGTACTGCAGGG